GGGGGCAAAGATAGAGGACACTCCTTTTCATCGATAGCCTCGAAAATGGCCCCAAGAGGCCCTCCCTCTTTCTCTCCCTCCCCGTCAGCTCTCATGGCCATCGTTTCTAGATGGGCTGGTGGGGATACATGTTGGTCGCGAGCGCAAGCGGTACGGCCGCGCGCCGTCAGAACAAAGCAACAATGCAACGGCCTAAATTACGCACCTGTGCAACAGGAGCGGGCTGCGGCTCAAGAAATTCTGGTGGGATACTTTCTTGGTCGGCGGCTCCAAGGCAACGGTCAGGGAGCGGAAGCGGCGTCCTGGATGCGGTACGGTGCGAATTTGCGAACACGGCCGCCAATGTCGGCAAGCCAGTTCGCACCTGCAAAACAAGCTCGCAGCTGCACATGCACAGAACAAAGTGAACTAAATTCACAAGCTAACGCACATAGGCGCAGCAGCGTGAACCGAAGTAAACGAGCTGCAAGGGGGTAAGCGAAGACAGCGGAGTGAGTCCGGTTCGGCGCCAGACTCCAGGCCACCTGCCCACGCCGAACGGCTGTACGGTGTAACCGGGCTGAGCGCGGAGGAAGACACAGGGCTGCGCGAGCGCGGAAGGCTGAACCACTCAACGCTGTGTCCTCAGAATCCTCCAACCAGCCGGGGGGGCCAGCGGCAACCCAAGGCGCACCGAGCCCGGCACCTGAAGCCGAAAGGCCCGCTGGCGGCCGAGACGGTGCGCGGGGGAAACCACAGGCTGTACAGGTGGAGGCTGAACCACTCAGAGCCAGGCCCTCCGAAGCCCAAGCCCAACTCCCAGTGCCGATGGGAGCCAGCGACAGCCCAAGGCGAAGCTGGTGGGATACGCGAAAGATCATGAATTTATGGAACCTCTGCATTGCATTTCGGCGTGTAAGAATCCTGACTGAAACAAATCGCTGCACATGGTTGGTCAATAAATTATTGCCCAATCAGAACATGACAATGGGACATAATATCGACGCCATCGCGCAAAAACAACTCTCGGAAGCGGCTACCAACATTGACCGGCAATAACTGGGCGGCAGTGCGGCTTGCCACAAAATGCAGCCCATCTCCGAGGACCGATTTTCGAGAGCATCCGACCGCCACCAGCTGTGCGCGAAGCTGTGGCTAAATTCCGACGCGTAATGGATAGAATCTCTATTGGAGTTGGTGACCCTACAATCGTGGCACATGTGGAACGACAGCGTGGTCGGCTCCAAATGTACATATCTTCTGGGCAGCCTCTGGGAACCAGGACGTTATCAGCATAACCGATTGCTTGGAACTGCTCAACGAATTCGTCCCGAACTTCAGTGCAACGACCCTAGGTGCAAGTGGTGCCGCAAGGAATTCATTTGGTCCCAACCTAGTGGAGGAGAAGGAACATCTCTCTTCTCTTCACACTGCATGTTTGCTGCTGTGCTTCTGCGCAGTCCCAAGGCTCAACCACTCACTTCGCGCCACCCAGCCCGATTCGACAAAAATTGCCACTGCAGCACGCGACAACAGTACTGCCGCGAATGTTCGGAAGATCTTCGGCATTACACACCTGGGATCCGGACTTTCACGACGCCCTCTGCGATGCATAGGCAGCACAAGCAAGACTACCTCTACGATACGGTGGCGTTGGATTGCTGGAGTTGGTACTTCTGGGCCCTCACCTTCTCGGGAGCGGCCAAGAGGGGGGTGTCAAAGAGGGGGGGTGCAAATCATGACCGGCGGCATGTGCGCAGCCCAGCCGGGGGGGGCCAGGGACGTCATGAAATAAGAAGAGGCGCCATGAAATCTGGGGAAAAATCATGGCCCCCGCCATGATATCCTTCCCCCTAGTCATCACTCCCCTCTTTTCCGCCCCCGACCTTCGCACGAGACCCCGAATGCAGACGGACGCCCTGGCCGAAGCCGACAGGCCGGGTCGACCCTCCGAGGCCCAGACCTGATGAAAAACCAAACGCTATCGCACGCCGGAGCGCGACGAACCGGGGCCTATGCTCATCAATGCATCGGGAGAGCGCAAACATGGATTAGCGATGCATGGATTTGACGCGCGGTCGCCGAGTCCATGGATCGGGGGAAGTGCCCTCCCAAAAATGCTGTCCGGGCCGCCTCGTTCGGCGGCGGAAATCCACGATTTCCCATGGAAAGGGGACCCGTCGCTAATCCATGCCCCCTTGATCAATGTTTGCGATCGCCTGAATGCATCGGGCGGTACTGGTTTCAGCTCCTTCGGCTTTGCGCAGCGGTTGCAACCCTTGCGCGATGCCAGGCGTTGCGCGAAACGTTCGGACCGGCGTGCGGAATATTTAAGAGAGCGCGCGAGCGCATGCCAACCAGCCACAGGGGTGGAAGCCCAGGGGGACGAGGGGAGAGGGGGGCACTGACGGGCAAGGACGAGAGTGATCATAGCTTAACCGACCCCTATCCACACTGGCGTGACCTGGGCCCCACTGGCCGATTTACCCTCTCGGAGGTCCGCGCGGATTTCTCGGATCGGCGCTGGATCTGCATAGTTTCCCCCGGGGCCGTAGGCGACCCGAGGAGGAAGAGGAGAGGGAGGAGGAGGAGGAGGAGGGAGGAGGAGGAGGAGGAGGAGGAGGAGGAGGAGGAGGAGGAGGAGGAGGAGGAGGCGGAGGAGGAGGAGGAAGAGGAGGAGGAGGAGGAGGAGGAGAGGAGGAAGAGGAGGGGAGGAGGAGGAGGAGGAGGAGGAGGAGAGGAGGAGGAGAGGAGGAGGAGGAGGAGGAGGAGGAGGAGGAGGAGGAGGAGGAGGAGGAGGAGGAGGAGGAGGAGGAGGAGGAGGAGGAGGAGGAGGAGGAGAGGAGGGAGGGGAGGGGGAGGGGGAGGTTGAGATGGAGGAGGAGGAGGTAGGAGGAGGAGGAGGAGGAGGAGGAGGAGAGGGAGGAGGGGCAGGAGGAGGAGAGGAGGAGGAGGAGGAGGAGGAGGAGGAGGAGAGGAGGGGAGGAAGGGGGGAGGGGGGAGGAGGAGGGAGAGATGGAGGAGGACGAAGAGGAGGAGGACGAAGAGGTGGAGGAGGAGGAGGAGGGAGGAGGAGAGGACGGGGAGGGGAGGTGAAGGAGGGGGGGGGAGGAGGAGGAGAGGAGGAGGAGGAGGAGGAGGAGGAGGAGGAGGAGGAGGAGGAGGAGGAGGAAGAGGAGAAGGAGGAGGAGGAGGAGGAGGAAGAGGAGGAGGGGGAGGAGGAGGAGGAGGACGCGAGGGCCTGCAGGTGTCCGCAGCAGGAGGAGGAGGAGGAGGAGGAGGAGGAGGAGGACCGTCGAACATGTAGGGTAAGTTCGAGCGGCGTCGGCGCGCGCAAAGGTTTTTGACACCGCGTCGATCGTTTAAACTTGAATCGATGGCAGCCCCGATCGTTCAAGGTTGAATCCAATCGGGTCCAATAGCGTTACCGTCCATCGGTGCTTCCGCGTCGCAGAATTCAACCTTGAGCGCCTTCGCCTGCGTCGCTGTCGCGCCAACGCCGCATGAACCTACCGTACAGTCGAACTTGATTGGACAGGACACCCACGGCAAGACTCTTCTCAACGTGGCCCCAAAACACCACAGAGGACATGCGGCTTGCACAGGTCGGGACGAACAGGACACAGGGGTGCCCTCGACCTGGCATGGTCGACCTACTGATGAAGGCCGACTGTATGTCCATGCCATGTTTTCGTCTTCGACTCGGGCCGGCGCCTGCCGCGCACGTCTGCCGGGGCCACGGGTCATGCGTCCTCGCCCTCGTCCGCCATGAGGTCCATGAGCCCCTGCAGCTCCGCCCGCAGCTCCCGCACGCTCGCCGGCGGCTCCGCGCGGCCCAGCGGCCCGCCCAGCGCCGTGCTGGGGCCGAACGCGCCGGGGGCGCCCTCGGGCTCGTCGGAGGTGGCCGACGAGGTGGCGGCCTCGGAGCCCGTCTCCTCTCGGGGATGGACAGACCCCCCTTTAGTAAAACGTGGTTTAGTGAAAACGATCTGAGGCCCTAACCTGGCGGGCGCAAGCCTGGAAAATCACGGCCACGGTGCCCTGTCGAGAACCGAAAACGGACAATTCACTAATCGACGTGTCACTGTTGGGGGTTCTGTCCAACCCCGATCCTCCTCTTTCTGCACGCCCAAAGTGGGTACGGAACAAACTGGCACGATGCCCAACAGCAGCCAGCGTCCAAGTCCAACAGCGGTCGCTGGTGGGCAGGCGGCCTTCTGCCTCGAATGGGCAACTTCCGCGGCGACACCGACATCGAGTCCCGATCGAAATGGACAGGCATTAGAGACCTCCTAGATGAGGTCCGAGTAGACGTGGTCGGAGGATCTCGCCGAATCGCCGATACATCGGCGACGCATCGCCGATGCATCGGCGATGCATCGGCGATGCACTGGCGACGTCGGCGGTGCATCGGCGACGTCGGCGTGGAGAAAATCGGGCCCCACATCGAGCCGCATCGCCGATGCATCGCCAATGCATCGGCGATGCGGCGAGATCCTCCGACCCCATCTACTCCGACCCCATCTAGGAGGCCTAGAGGCATCACCCTCGGTCTTCGTACAGTAGGGGCCCTACCACAAGAAGCCCTCCACAAGAAACCCAACCCTGAGACCCCATGCCGCCCATTGATTCTTGGTGTGGGAACGTCACGCTTCCATCGCAAAACCATCGACACCCGAGAAACCCAGGGCGCCCCGGAGGCAAGCGGGGTGCCTCTTGGCATAGGCCCCCACTGCAGATGCATTGCGGTCGGTCTTCGTGCGCATTCTTTCCGCACCCACGTCGATCGTACCGATCCTCTTCCTCGTCCTCGCTGGCCTCGGCGTCTGGGGCGTCGCTCTCGTCGCTCCCCTCCGCCAGGCCCTGCCCAGCCCCGTGCCGGGGCGGCCTCGCGACGGCCCCGAAGCCGCCCCGGGCGAGCAGGTCCAGCGCGGCCGCGCCACGGGGCGGGGCGCCCGCCGGCGTCGGGGGGCGCGACCTGGCCAGCGCAGACGCGGCGGCGATGCCGGCGGCGCTGAGCTTCAGACCGGCTGGTGGGGGAGCGAAGAAGGGCGCATGAACAAACAAACGCGGAGGTCCGCGCGGATTGCTCGGATCGGCGCTGGGGCCCCCTGGCGGCGCCTCCGGCGCCGCGCGCCAGGGAGGGGGGTCCAGCGCGGATCCACGAAATCCGCGCGGAACTCCGAGTTTTGTATGTTCATGCTTTTTTGTGCGTTCCCCTAGCTGGGCCGCCTGGCACGGCGCTGCCCGCGGTGTCCCCGCCTTCGCCCACCGCGCGGGCCATGAGCTGGTCCTGGCACTTTCTGCAGGTGCACACGAAGCCCCAGGTGCGCCAGAGGGTGGCGAGGCGCTCGTCCAGGGGCTTCGAGGGGGAGACGTAGGCCAGGTGGAGCTCGCCCCCCTCCTCCACGTCGCGCAGCGCCACCATGGTCGCGATCGCGCCGTCAGTGAATCGCATGTCGAAGTTCGGCAAGCACGAGTGGTTCGACAAGGCCATGCAAGCGAACAACGCGCTGCCCTCGAAACGGCCCAGGCGCCAGCCGCCGCATCCGGCATCCACCTTCTGGTCAACTGGTGGCTCATCATCGTCGTCGTCAGCCGCCTCCTTAGCTGCTCGGGTCGCCACTTCTAGCAGACGACCGTAGCGCTGCTTGAAAGACTCGTCCTTGCTGCACTCCGCCAGGCGAGAGGCCAGCGGGTGCTCGATTCGCACCCAGACGTTCGAGAGAGAGAACTGCCCGACCAGGTTGGAATAGAAGTCAATGTTGAGCAGCTCAGCGAAGCGCTTCTCCCACAGGAGGGCGGACAGGATCTCCAGCGATTCCGACATCGCCTTGAAGCGCTTGCCCTGCTTGGCCTGAGCGATGCCCGCCAGCGGCCCTCGCCGAGGCAAAGGCTCGCAGGTGGACCTGGACGGCACGCTGACCATGTTCAGCCAGGACATCTTCGCGAAGCGCGTGAAGAAGGCCATGGCCTCGAACAGGTCCACACCGCTGTGCCTCACGAGGCACACGATCTCGGCCATGACCTGTGCGGCAAGGATGAAGACCTCGTGGTGCCTCGCCGCGTGGCGCCTGAAGAGCGCCCACAGCGGCCGCTTCTCCGGCGGCACGTCGACGCACAGGGCGCGGTGCCACCCCTCGCGGGAGGCCGCCGCGGCGCACTCGGGCCCGCAGAAGACGGCGCCGCAGCCGCGCTCGCACGGCGCGCGCCCGCGAAGCAGCCACTCGCCCTCGTCGAGCTCCTGGAGCGCGGGGGCGCCGCCCTCCACGAGGGCCTCCGCGTCCGCCCCGGACGCCGCCGCGGCACGCCGCAGCGCCGAGCCGAGCGAGCCCACGAAACGATGGCATTAGGTCGGGCATTCTCTCCCGCAGACGGATTCTGGCCGAAAAATTCAAAAATATACGCAAGAATACAACAAAATCCCAAAACAAACATCCACACATCACAGACAAATCGCCCCTATACTATGTTATGACTGTGTTTGGAGATTCCTCCTGTAGAGGGACATGCTCGACTTAACGATGGCAGTGGGAGCAGACCTCGCAGACGCGCCGGGAGTCCTGGTACTGATGCACGGCTCGAGGATCCTCAGAGCGCGCGTGTGAGCGCCAGCGTGTGCTCGTCCACCGGAATCCCTTCACAATGCGACGACGACGGTGCCACGAGGGCCGACGCAGGCTGCTTGCTCTCGGCGGCGCTGAACGGGGGGAGGAGGCGGAGGAGGAGGAGGAGGAGGAGGAGGAGGAAGAGGAGGAAGAGGAGGAGGAGGAGGAGGGGGAGGGGGAGGTCGAGGAGGCGGAGGAGGAGGAGGAGGAGGAGGACAAGGAGGAGGGAGTCGAGGAGGAGGAGGAGGAGATGGTGGAGAGGGAGGCACACGTCCTGAGGATCACCGAATGGCCAGGGGAGGCTGCCGCTCGCAGATGGCCCCGCCCTTGGCCACCGCCGCCCCCGACAGCAGCCGCCGCCCCAAGCCGCCGGAGGCCCGCTCTGCTCGCAGCAGGCGGTCGCGGAAGGGTGCGCTGACCTCGCCCAGCCTCCCCGGCCAGCTCCGCGAGCGCTCGCCCTCCCAGTCCTGACTGCCTACCAGACCACCCCAACTCGACCCGAAGGCCCGAACTTCGGGTTTGGGGGGGGGTACGGGTTTCATATGTGCTTTTGTCCAGATGTTCCCCGACCCCCACCCCACTGGAAATGGAGGGCAAATCGGGGCCTTCGGGCTGGGTTGGGTTGGCTTGGTGGGCGATGAAGTCCTGGGGCGCCGACGCGCAGTAGCCCGAAAAACCGTCCCTGAGGCTCGCCAGGCTCGCGTACAGCAGGGGCCGGTGCTCCTCCGGCTCCTCCCCGGCGCCCGCCTGCGACTCCGAGTCCGGGCCCTCGGCGCCCTCCGCGGCGAGCACGGCGAGGATCCTGCGGAGCGCGAGGACCTCATCGGGCTCGCCGCTGCCCCGCTCCATGGAGGACCGCGCGCGGCAGCGGTGTCGGCGTCGCCGTGGCGGGGCGCTGGCGCGGGTGCAGACCTGCCTTGAGCCTCAAGCTGCGGTCCTGTCGTCTCCAGGGGCCGCCCTGGTGGGGCCGCCGCACCGCGTCGCCGACGCATCCGGTGGCTCACTCGTGATGCGCAGCAGCATGCCTGGTCAGAGCCATCCTGGGCCCTGGCATCAGGCAGGTCCCCCTCCAGGCGGGTCTTGGACGAAACATGAAAAATGGTCCAAAAATTTCAAAAATAGCAAAACATGTTGAAAAAAACGTCCCCAGACTGTTGTTGGACTATTTTTGAATATTCCTCCTGTAGAGGGACATGCCCGACTTACGCCTGGCATGGTGTGTACGCCCTCCTGGCCGAGGCCAGGAGGGTCTTTAAAGTATCTTGGGGCCAGGATGGCCCTGGCCAGGCACGGCGGTGGTGTGTAGATGCACTCTGCGGATGGTGTTGTATCGGCAGCGTCGGGACGGAGAACATCGGGCTTTGAATCAGGGCTGGAGCTGAACGTTGTTGTTCGGTTTGTTTTCGTTTTATTATACCTGATTTCCTGTACCTCCCTCCCAAAACGAAAAACAAAACACAGCCGAAGTCCAGCAAAACACCGTTTAAATCCAGCCCTGCATTGAATGGCACCTCATCGCCGATCGGTCTTTAGAGCCCATCTACTCCAGCGCCCTTTGGGTGGCCTGGGGTATCTCTCGTCCCTCTGATGATAGATACGCGAAAGAGAGGGAAGCCGACAACCGACAAACTCCAACATTGTAACAGACGCGTGGTAGTGGGTGCTCTGACGTTGTACCCCATTATGCGGATGTCTTTGTCCTTGTCCTCCTCCTCCTCCTCCTCCTCCTCCTCCTGCTGCCCCCTCCTCCTTCTCCTTCTCCTCCTCTGCGTCGGCTTCTTTCCTTAATCCCCTCCTCCCCCCTCCACCTCAATTGCAGCCTCCTCCACCTCCTCTTCTTCAGAAATTGCATCAGGAACCCATCAAGAACCCAACAGAAATCCTCAAGAATCCATCAGGAATCCCCAAGAACCCATCAAGAATCCATCCGGGATCCATCAGGAATCCATCCGGCATTCATCGGAAATCCGTCGGGAATCCATCAGGTAACCATCAGGAATCCTCATGCATTTCTTAAGGTGTCCACAAGAATTCCCCGGGAATCATGAGGAATTCCCATGGAATTTCGAAAGATCCTCAGGAATCGCGAGGAATGCCTGAAGAATCCTCAAGAATCACGAATTCCCGAGGAATCCTCGGGAATCTCGAGGGTACCTCCAGGGAACCGCTAAGGAACGTCTAACGAACATCTAAGGAACATTTGAGGAGCTCTCAAAGCGGTTGGAATTCGTACCAAGTCTTTGGGATTGGTACCGAAATGGTTGGAATCCGCCCTGGATGGTTGCAAGTTGTCCCATGTTCGAAATGGTTTCCAGGGTATGGAAGGTGATTTTTGTTGGGGTGCCCCCCCCCCCACTGGTTTCCGGGAGGGGAGGGGCCGATTCCTTCGAGCCCAGCACCCGTGAAGCGCGCCCCCTCAGAGCGAGGGAAGGCGCGCGCGCGAGCGGGCGCAAGGCCAGCACGCCCGTCATCCCCGAGAGCTGCAGAGCGCACCGCGCGGAGGAACGGTGCTGGCGAGTGGGTGCAGGCGCTGGGTCCCCCTGCTTCGCGGTCCGCGCCGCGCGACCTGGGGCGCGCGGCCATCTTCGCGCTCCTGTGACGCCCCCGAAAATTAGGTCGGGCATGCCCTCCTGCAGGCGGCTTCTGGAAGAAGCATAAAACATATGGAACAACAACAAAGAGAGCCAAAGATGGTCAAACATCGTCCTCTGACAATTGTTCTACCATCTTTTACCATTCCTCCTGCGGAGGGGCATGCCCGACTGAACCCCAAAGGGGGGAGGTGCCCGAGCCCACGCCGCGAAGCGCGAAGCGCAGCGGACTTCGCGCCCCTGCAGGGACCTCTGGCGGGCGCAGCGAGCAGCGGGCCAGGACTGCACTTGAGTCGGGCATGTCCCTCTACAGGAGGCGTATACAAAAATCGTAAAAGATACACTGGATACGATGTTTTAAACACTATTGAGCTATTCTGGACTATTGTTTCACTATTTTCGTTTCTCGTCCAAGATCCGCCTGTAGGAGGGCATGCCCGACCTAAGACTGCAAACAGGAAAGGGGCTTGGCGACCTCCTCGTTTCATTCTCTTCTCCTCATCATCGCCAGCCGCCTCCTCACGGGTTTTCCCCTCACCCCCAGGGCTCGAGTTAAGCAGTGCTTTCCGTGTTCGTCTTGTTTTCGTCATCCCTGGTTCTGTCTTCGTGCCACACTTGCTGCAAGACGAGGTCAAAACGAGAACGGTCCACGAACTTGCCAAAACACCGTTCAGCTCGAGCCCTGCTCACCCCGTGACGGCACGGCGCTGCCCCTGCAGGCCCCGCGGCCGAAGAAGCGTGCGCGGCTCTGTCTCGTGGTCCGCACGGTGCGCGCGCAGCGGCGGCAGTGGAAATCGGGGCGAGGCGGGCAGAGGTGGCCGCGAAGGTCGTCTCCGGCGCAGCGGGGAGGAACGAGCACACCGCTGCAGAGACAGACAGACAGACAGACAGACAGACAGGCAGGCAGACAGACAGACAGACAGGCAGGCAGACAGACAGACAGTGCCAGACGGACGGACGGACGGACGGACGACAGAGAGAGGGGGAAGGGGTGGGGGGGCAGAACGCCGCGGGTCTCCGCCTCCTCCCGCCTCCCCCTCCCCCTCCCTCCCCCTCTCCCTCCTCCTCCCTCCCCCCCCCCTCCCTCCCCCCCTCACGCCTCCGCCCTCCCCCCTGCCCCCTCCTCCCTTCCCCTCCCTCCTCCACCCCCCTCCCTCCCCTCCCCCTCCCCCCTCCCCCCTCCGCCGGCCACCTGCTGCCACGCCGCGCCGCGCACACACCGCGCGCGCACGGCCCCGCGCCCCGCGCGGCCGCGGGCCGCCTGCGCGGGCCCTCCCCCATTCGGGGGAGCGCCGCCGCCGGGGGAAGCCGGCGCGAAATGTGCCAGCTTTCCCGGCGCGAGGCGCGCTGGCGCGGCGCGGGGCCTGCGGCCCAGCCGCGGCCGCGGCTGCGGACGGGGCCCCAGGCCCCGCAGCGCCTGGGCGAGAAGAGTTCGCCGGCGAGCGGAGTGGGGGGAAGGGTCAGGTCGGGCATGTCCCCCTACAGGAGGATTTTGGGCGAAAAATCAAAAAAACAAAAAAAAAAAAAAAAAAAAAAAAAAAATAGTCAAGCAAGAATCGAAAATAGTCCAAAATAGTCAAACAAAAATCGTCCCTCGACTATTTTTTAACTATGTTTGAATGCACCCCCTGGCAGAGGGACAGGCCCAACTTCAGGGAAGCGAGAAGGATCAGGCCTCCTCGGAAGGCGGCGGGACTTCACGGAAGCCCTCGCGCCTTCCGAGGAATCGTTGGTTTGTCTTTGAAGGAGGCGCAGAAAACTTCTCAGAAGGCTGGGGGATTTCCGAACCTTCTGAGAAGGTCCTAGGCATGCGACGTCCTGATTTGTTCAGCACGGCGTCCTGGAAGTCCAGAACCTTTCAACGGGGCTGGCTTGTCATCCCGAGTCGGTTTTTGACGGCCCCGTGGACCGGCGAGGGCCCCCATGAGCCGAAAATAGCTAAAAATTATCCCGGCAAAGCAACCTAACAGCGATGTGTAGAAGCATATCTGAAAGCATTCCCCTTAAGATTCAGATGAAAATCCAGTTGTAGAATTCTGCTGTTCTCGCCGTCGTAGTCGCATTCGCGATGACAGTCGCAGCGGCAACGGCAGTCGCAGTCACAGCCTCAACCTCAGCCTGCCTCAGCCTCAGCCTCAGCCTGCCTCAGCCTCAGCCTGCCTCAGCCTCAGCCTCAGCCTGCTTCAGCCTCAGCCTCAGTCTGCCTTCAGCCTCGGCCTCAGCCTCAGCCTGCCTCAGCCTCAGCCTGCATCAGCCTCAGCCTCAGCCTCAGCCTGCCTCAGCATCAGCCTGCCTCAGCCTCAGCCTCAGCCTGCCTCAGCCTCAGCCTCAGTCTGCTTCAGCCTCAGCCTCAGTCTGCCTTCAGCCTCGGCCTCAGCCTCAGCCTGCCTCAGCCTCAGCCTGCCTCGGCCGCAGCATCAGCCTGCCTCAGCATTCAAAATGTGGCCCAGGAGCGGAGTTCTGGGAACTAGAAAAACACGAAGTGGCCTACAGTTGGCTCCGGGCATTCAAAATGTGGCCCGGGAATGGAGTTCTGGGAACTTGAAAAAGCACGAAGTGGCCTACAGCTGGCTCCGGGCATCCAAAATGTGGCCCGGGAGTGGAGTTCTGGGAAGTCGAAGAGCACGAAGTGGCCTACAGTTGGCTCTGGGCATCCAAAATGTGGCCCGGGAGTGGAGTTCTGGGAAATCGAAAAGCACGAAGTGGCCTACAGTTGGCTCCGGGCATTCAGAATGTAGCCTGGGAATGGAATTCTGGGAAGTCGAAGAGCACGAAAAATGTGACTGTTTGCGAAAAACGAGTGCGGCGGCAGCCGCGCCGGGTCCCGCCCCGGGTCCCGCCCCGACCCCCCTGAGGAGTCATGATGCTCTCTTTTGAGACCACTAGAAACCTATCATCAAGAGCTGTTAGGTAACTAGCCGCCCTGATCTTTGTACGAAAAACTTGCCGTCCCGATTTGTTTGCGACGCGAGCATGTCTGGGGCCAGCACCTTCTCATTTCCCCCCCTCGCGCGCCACCGACAAAGACATGACGAGTTCCCTGTTCGCCTGAAGTCCAGCATGTCCCTCTACATGAGGAACCATCACAAATTATCTGGGGGCGATGTTTTGATCATTTTGGGGCATTTGGGGATGTTTTTGGGACTATGTTTTTCCCAACCCTCTTGCGTTGGGTTCTCGTTTTGAATAGAGCACTGCTCGCGCGAACCTTCCTTCCTTCCTTCCTTCCTTCCCGTCCCTCTCTTCCCCCCTGCCTTT